TCCCTCTTGTGGCAGCTCACAATTCCAAGCATGAGGGAAGACTGAACATGCCAACAGCCCTTAGATGGGCTCATGACCATCATGTTTCTTCTGGGGTGTTACTTCTGAGGATTGGGGAAAGTCGGACACACCGGCATGCCTCTGACCAGTGGGATTCACAGTCTGTGAATGGCAGGCCCCAGCTGAGCACCCCTGATTCGGGGCACTGCTCAGCTGAAGAGCTGTGAGCTCTGCCTTCCACACATTCTCACTGATTTAATGCAGTGCGACAGCCTCACATTTTTCCATTAGCCCTGGTTTACACTACAGGGTTAGGTTGAATTTAGCCGTGTTAGATCCATTTTAAAATGAATGCATCCACACAACCAACCCCGTTCTGTCGACTTAAAGGGCTCTTAAAATTGACTTCAGTGCTCCTCCCCCGGCAAGGGGAATAGCGCTAAAATCGACCTTGCTGGATCAAATTTGGGGTAGTGTGGACGCAAAACGACGGTATTGGCCTCCGGGAGCTATCCCAGAGTGCTCCATTGTGACTGCTCTGGACAGCACTTTGAACTCCGATGCACTAGCCAGGTACACAGGAAAAGCCCCGGGAACTTTTGAATTTCATTTCCTGTTTGGTCAGCGTGGCGAACTCAGCAGCACTGGTGACCATGCAGTCCCCCCAGAATCGTACAGCATAGAATGTTTCTACGCTCCCCCTATCATCTCCGTCCCTGAGATTATTGCAGATTAGAAGGCGAAAAAAACTGCACTCGCAATGACATGTCTTCTGAGCTCATACAGTCCTCCCGCACTGATAGGGCGCAGCTTAATGCATGGAGGCATTCAGTGGCAGAGGCCAGGAAAGAATTAAGTGAGCGCGAAGAGCGGAGGTAGGACGCGATGCTGAGGCTAATGGGGGAGCAAACGGACATGATGAAGCATCTGTTGGAGCTGCAGGAAAGTCAACAAGAGCACAGATCCCCGCTGCATCCACTGTATAACCGCCTACCCTCCTCCCCATGTTTCATAGCCTCCTCACACAGATGCCCAAGAACGTGGGCGGGGGAGGCTCCGGGCACCCAGCCACTCCACTCCAGAGGATGGCCCAAGCAACAGAAGGCTGTCATTCAAACAGTTTGATTTTTAGTGTGGCTACAATAAGCAATGTGGCCTTGTCCTTCCCTCCTCCCCCACCCCACCCAGGCTACCTTGTCCGTTATCTCTTTTTTTTTTTAAGAAAGAAAGAAAGGAAGAAAGGAAGAAAGGAAGAAAGGAAGAAAGGAAGAAAGGAAGAAAGGAAGAAAGGAAGAAAGGAAGAAAGGTTTCAAAACAATGGTTACTTTATTTCGAAGGGAGGAGGATGGTTGGATTACAGGGAATTAAAATCAACGAAGGGGGCGGGTTTCAATCAAGGAGAAGCACAGACAACTGTCACACCGAAGCCTGGCCAGTCATTAAACTAGTTTTCAAAGCCTCTCTGATGCGCAGCGTGCCTTGTTGTGCTCTTCTAATCGCCCTGGTGTCTGGCTGCTCAAAATTGGACACTAGGCAATTTGTCTCAATCTCCCACCTTGCCATAAACGTCTCCCCCTTACTCTCACAGATATTATGGAGCACACAGCAAGCAGCAAAAGCAATGGGAATGTTGGTTGCTCTGAGGTTTGACCCAGTCAGCAAACAGCACCAGCAAGCTTTTAAATGTCCAAAGGCACATTCTACCACCATTCTGCACTTGCTCAGCCTATAGTTGAACTGCTCCTTACTACTGTCCAGGCTTCATGGGAGCAAGGGGTAGGCTGGGGTAGGTGCGACCGCTGGAAGAGCAGCCTGAGGCAGAAGCCTCCAGCTCGCATGATATTCCAGGCAGGACTGAATCGCCATGAGACGAAATTTAAAGAAGAGAATGACCTGAAGTCTCTGGCTCCCATTCAGTGCTCTAAGAGGAGGATAGCCATGTCTGTCCAGGCACCCCTGATCGACCTCACCGAGGTCTGCCAGGAGAACCCAGGAAACGTACAGTGACGGTGAGCTGAGCAGGCTCCATGCTTGCCGTGGTATAGCATCTGCATGGGTAACCCAGGAAAAAAATGCAAGAAACGATTGTCTGCTGTTGCTTTCATGGAGGGAGGGAGCGGGGGCCTGACGACATGTACCCAAAATCACCCGCAACAATGTTTTTGCCCCATCAGGCATTGGGGGCTTAACCCAGAACTCCAATGGGCAGCGGAAACTGCGGGAACTGTGAGATAGCTACCCACAGTGCACCGCTCTGTAAGTCGATGTTAGCCACAGTAGTGTGGACATACGCAATCGACTGTATAAAATCGGTTTCTAAAAATCAACTTCTACAAAATTTACCTAATTTCATAGTGTAGACATACCCTTAGTGTCCATACAAGACAAAGAAAGAGGGACAGAGAGACTAAAAAGAGGAGATAAAGCGAAGCCTCCAAGTTTCTGCGTAGAGAACACAAAACTGGAGAGGGGCTGTTCTGACTGAGGCTAATATTATCAGGATGAGGTTTCAGAACTCCTTGCTTTTTTGCTTCTAGTAGGTGGTGCCATGATACCATTAATCCACTAATGTAGGATGGGGAAAAAGAGAGATGACAGCTTAACAAATAATTTTTCAATTTTTTTCCATTTTTGTTTTCAAAATTAGGCCATTTTAAATTTAAAAAACTGTAACCAGTTGGTCCAAAAAAAAAAAGTTGTGTGTGTCAAAACAATTTTACAATCTGCTGGAAAAATCCTAACTCACATACCATGATCATGCGTGTTATATCAAGAACTGTAAAATACATGTATACACAAACACAAAATGCAACTTGAAGTTCATGAAAAGCACTGAAAATATGCAAGTTAAGATGGAACTTACTTTCTTAACTCTGCTCCCTGTGTGTATGTTTTACAATAGTCTAATTATATGATCTTCTACTATTTCAAGCTGATGCTCTTTTCCCAACCTTGTTTTATAATTGATCAGCTTTGCATTCTCACATAACAGCTCATGATCATAACTGTATTGTATAACTTTAATGACAGACATGTCATATAAGCTGTTTTCCACACCTTGCTTTGGAAACAGCTACACCTATGAAGGGTGTTTGCAACTTATGCTAATTAAATTATTCTGAAAACTAAACTCCCACCCCATAAAACTGACATTAAAATGTAGGTATGTTTCTAGCTTAACTGTTAATATTATTATAAAGGAGTGTTTTAAAATACAGAATGGGAACAGTAAAATATACTAAAAAGATACACTAATTTACAAAAATATGAAGGTGTTTAATATTGTAATTACAGAACTTTAATTGATACTGCATATGAAAACTGATAATGTCTTATCACATTTTATTATAATGCATTTATATGTTGCTTACATTTTACTGTATATTTTGTTGTGCGTATCATTCTCTACTTTCCCACCATAGCAGACAGCTAAGTTCCCTGTAAGCTGCATGGCCGCGCAGCAACCTATTTAGCACCACACAGGCACTCAGGGAATCTGCTCGGGGACCTGCCATGGCCAGGGACCAGCCAGAGGAGGGGCGCCCCTCCCCCAACCTAGCCCGGTCCCCAACTCTGCTGCAGCCCGGACCCAGCTGCGGTGGCGTGGACTCAGGCGTGGCCCAGCCCCGCCCCAGGCACAGCTGGGGCGGCGCAGATCCAGGTGCCCCTCTCCCAGCCCAAACCTAGCCCCAGCTGGACTTGCTGGGGCCAGAGAAGGGGCGCCTATCCTGAAGCCCCAGCACCAGAGTTGCTGAAGCAAGGAGAGGCACCTTTCCCCCAGCCCAGGGGATGCTGCGGGGAGAGAGAGAACTGGGGGTAGTCCTCTCTCCTGACCATAGCCCAGGAGCACCCTCCTACACCCAAAGTCCCTCATCCCCAGCCCCACCCCAGAGCCCACACCCCCAGCCAGAGCCCTCACACTCCTGGACCCCAACCCTCTGCCCCAGTCCTGAGCCCCCTCCCACACTCTGAACCCCTCGGCCCTACCCCCACCACATCAATTTTGTTATGTGCACCAATATGAAGGTGATATTGGTGCACATAACAAAATTCATTCCGCACATGGGTGGGAAAAATTAGAAGGAACACTGGCAGAGAGTACTACAAATTGCTACCCGTATGAAAATTTACAGTGTTTTCTATATACACTTAAGAAATAGATCATGTAATTGAAGACTTAAATAATGCATCCACACAAGGGGACAGAACTATGGCTGCAGATTTAAACTTTCGCATTATATTTTCTAGGTTTTTTTGGTGTATTTTTTTAAAGGAAAAATAATCAATACAAATGCACACATACTGCCCAGGAAAAGAAAAGAGGAACAATGCAAAATCATAAAGTAAGATCTCCAAGTCTAGCAGGCTTACAAGTTCTGCTGATGATCAATTACTACCAGATGAATGTGGCACTTGTCTGCATGCTGTCCTAGCAAGGAAACTACCCAGGGCAATTTACTTTAAGTCCGTAGATATCCACTTTGTATCTGTGGATATTTGCAGACCATTTTTGTAGATTGCGGACGGAGGCAGATCCAAATTTTATATCTAAAGCCCTGCAAATCCCCTGATATCCACTTTATGTCTGCAGTTATCTTCATCCACTGATGCGGATATCCATGGATCATTTCTGCAGGATGTGGATCGGAAGCAGATACAAATTTTGTATCTGCTCAGGGCTCTGTGTCAGCGCAATGACTTTCTTGTTAACATAGAGAAGTAATGTACTGCTATGTTCGCACTGACTAAATAAAAAGTTTTTTGACAATGAGATAGCAATCTTGGTGTAAAAACTCACTTTTTTGGCAGTGATGACATAACCTGCTTCCACAAACCCAAAGCTAGAAACCTTACTAAAGCCTGCACACACACTATGAGGCTTATAAGGCATGCCACAGCATTGACCCTGGAGTTATATTTGAAGGATTAAATGTAAAGTATTTTACATTCAGATTGAATAAAAAATATTGTATAAATTATAGAGTAGCTAGGGTACTTACAGTGCCCTCTAGCTCCGAATACAGGCCCGACCAAAAACTGAAAGTACTTTTGTCCAGTTGATACAAACGAGATTTTTCAAAGGTTTCCGAATCCATGATCTGTCCTAATTCCCATGGGACATGTGTTGTTGTTCTATATACCTTCCTCTGAAAGAGAGAAAGACATATTAATATTAAGACGGTGTAGATGAGTCAAAATGGCTTTTGTAAAGGGATATCATGTCTCACCAATCTATTAGAATTCTCTGAGGGGGGTCAACAAACATGTGGACTAGGGTGACTTGAACTTTCAGAAAGCCTTTGACAAGATCCCTCACCAAAGGCTCTGAAGCAAGTAACCAGTCATGGGATAAGAGGGAAGGTCCTCTCATGGATCAGTAACTTGTTAAAATATAGGAAACAAACGGTAGGAATAAATGGTCAATTTTCACACAGGAGAGAGGTAAATAGAGGAGTCCCCCAAGGATCTGTACTGGGACTCATGTATTCGTAAATGATCTGGAAAAAGGGGTAAACAGTGAGGGGGCAAAGTTTGAAGACAATTCAAAATTACTTAAGATAGTTAAGTCCAAAGCAGACTGCAAGGGATTACAAAGGCATCTTACAAAATTGAGTGGGGACTATAGATACAAAATGATTGGGTCTAAATTAGCTGTTACCACTCAACAGAGATCTTGGAATCATTGTGGATAGTTTCCTGAAAACATCTGCTCAATATGCTACTGCATATTGCATATTGCCAAAAAAGCAAACAGAATGTTAGAAATAGGAAAGAGATAGATAATGAGAAAATATCATAATGCCACTCTACAAAACCATGGTACACCCGTACTTTGAATACTGCATGCAGTTGTGGTCACCCCTCTCAAAAAAAGATACATTAGAATTAGAAAAACTACAGAGACGGGAGAGGAAAAATTAAAAAGATTGGGATTGTTCAGATTGGAAAAAAGATGACTGCAGAGGGATAAAATCATGAGTGGTGTACAGAAAGTGAATGAGGAAGTGTTATTTAACATAACACACAAACCAAGGGAGGGGGTGTCACCCTACAAAATTAATATGCCACAGGTTTAAAACAAACATAAGTACTTCTTCACACAACACAGTCAACCTGTGGAACTTGTTACCAGGGAACATTGTAAAGGCCAAAAGTACAACTGGGGTAAAAAAATAGCATTAGATAAGTTCATGGAGAATAGATCTAGCAATAGCTATTAGTGAAAATGTTCAGGGATGCAACCCCATGCTCTGGGCATCCCTACCTCTGACTGCCAGAATCTGGGCCTGGACAACAGAGGATGGATCACTCGACATATTGCCCTGTTCTGTTCCCTCCCTCTGAAGCATCTGGCTCTGGCCACTGTCAGAAGACAGCATACTGGGTTAGACAGACCACTGGTCTGACCCAGTATGGTCATTCTTATGTTCTAATAAAATTCTATATTAGATTTGTTATTCTAATTTCAGTAAAGATGAAACAATATCCTGTACTAGGTTTGTGTGATTCTTTATGTATCAAAGCTACATGCAACAGAATCTATAGAATAACTGTTGTTCTCAAAACCCTGTCAAATGACAAATGTAAAGCCAGAATGATTTATTATTTCAGAGACAAGAAGCTGACATTGGAGTTGCTTGTCTGTCTATTTCTCTTATTTTAAAATATGTTCAAAAACGGTTTATGAAGATCCCAGGAATGCTCTGTCTCACAGAGCATGACATGGAGAGCCATGGTGATGACTGAGCAGAATCTAGGCAGAGGATCAAATTCTGCCCACCAATCCCACTGACTTCACTAGAAGTACCATGCATGCAGGCAAGGCCTAAATAATGCCATAAGCCAGCGCTTTAGTATCATATTGGGGAAAGGTAATTGTTAGAGCTCCGGGTCCCCCCCATTCCCACCTTCCACCACATGCTAGAAGCTTTACGGGCTTCTCCTGATTTCCCGCGCCAGGAGCTCTGTGTGCTCCCCGTTTCCCCCTCCAGAATCGCCGCCACCTTCTCGGCCCCTGCGCTTCCCACTCGGCAGGGCACGAGGCGGACAGACGCGGCCGGTGCTCTGGGCGGCCGCAGAGGGACTTCACCGCCCGCTGTGCCCTGCGCCAGCCGCCCTGTGCTCCGACCCGGAGCCCTTCCCGCACCTGCCGACGCGCCAGGAAGGCTTCCCACAGGTACACAGCCCAGGAGAAGAGCAGCACGGAGCAGAAGATCCGCTTCTCCACGGGCAGCTCATCCCAGAGCTCCCCCAGCAACGGCAACGCCATGGCGGACCGCCCCACTCGCAACCACTGCCACCTCGTGTCCTTGCCGACTTCCGGCCCGGCGTCACTGCAACCCCTCCCCCCACTCCGGCTTCCGGCCCGGCGTCACCGCAACCCCTCCCCCCACTCCGGCTTCCGGCCCGGCGTCACTGCAACCCCCTCCCCCACCACTCCGGCTTCCGGCCCGGCGTCACTGCAACCCCCTCCCCCACCACTCCGGCTTCCGGCCCGGCGTCTCCGTAACCCCCTCCCCCCCACT